ACCATAAATTTACAATAACAATTGATCTAATAAATATCATTAACAATAAGCACGTTTGATCCAGAAAAAACAATAATACTATTATAACTTACAAACATGAGTACTCACCAAAAATATTGTTAATATTCCTTGACTTTAGTCAAACCAACTATACAATTTTGTGTTTACAACAACAGCAACAAAGCCTTAATCCCACTACGTGGGCTCGGCTACATGAATCCTTTTTTCTCCATTGTGTCTCCATTGGTGTCATACATTTAGTTCTAATAAATTAAGATCATTTTTTACACAATAAGCCCAAGTCTTAAGATCATTTTTTACAAAGATCATTTTTATAAAATATGTCCAAGTTTTCAAGGTCTAACTCTACCTTTCCTAACATAAATCGAATCTAAAACATCTACTCTCCAAATCGGATCATCAAATGGTCGACGTTTAATAATGGTCGACGTTTAATTAATATGACCAAACCATAAAACTTTCTCTAATTGTGTCCATCACATGAGCTACACGAACCCTATCACGGATATATTCATTACACATTTTGTCTCTAAGTGTAAAGCCACCCATCCACCCAATCATTCTAATCTCAACAACACTTAACTTAGTATTATGCTTCTCTTTTAAAGGTCAACATCCAGCGCCATAGAACATTGCAGGTCTCACCACCGTCTTATAAAATTTTTCTTTCAGTCTAAGCGGTACTTTTCTATCACACAAAAGGCCAAAAGCATTCCTCCACTTCAACCAACCAACTTCAATTCTACTATTAACATCCCCATCTATATCACCATCGCTTTGAACAATAGACCAGAGATATCTAAATCGTTCACACCTCTTAATAATTTGATCACCCAAAGTTACACTTCTAGCACTAGAGCTACTACTACTAAATATACATTCCATGTATTCAGTTTTAGTTCTACTCAAATGAAGGCCTTTAAACTCCACTGTAGACCTCCATAATTCAAGTTTTTCCTGGCCTTTTTCTCTCATCTTATCCACGAGAAGGATATCATTAGCAAAAAAACATACACCAAGGTACATCTTCCTGTAAATGTCCAGTAAGACCATCCATAACTAAAGCAAAAACATATGGGCCTAAAGTCGATCCTTGATGTAGTCCAACAGAATAGAAAAATTTTTGGTCAATCCTCCTTCCGTTCGAACACTAGTAACAGCTCTAGTATACATATCTTTAATGACTTGAATATAAGTCATATCAACACATTTCTTCTCAAGAACTCTCCAAAGGATATCTCTTGGAACCTTATCGTAAGCTTTTTCTAAATCAATAAAATTAAATGTAGATTCTCCATATTATCTCTGAACTTCTCCATCAAAGTTCTTAACAAATATATAGCTTCCATAATAGACCTGCTCGGCATAAATCCAAATTGATTATGAGAAATCTTTGTAATACGTCTCAACCTATGTTCAATTACTCTCTCCCATAATTTTAAAGCATGACACATCAACTTAATTCCTCAATAATTTGTACATTCTTGTGCATCCCCTTTATTCTTAAAAATGGGGACCCAAAAACTCTTCCTCCACTCCTCAGACATCTTTTAGTTTTTAAAATAATATTAAAGAGTTTAGTAAACCAAGAAACTCTCCAATCTCCAAAACATTTCCAAACTCAATTGGGATATCATCAGGTCCTACAGAATTTTCACCCTTGGTTTTCTTTAAAATCTCCTCAACTTCTTTTTTACTAATGCGACGGTAAAAATAAAATGTTTTATTATTATTAATGATATTAAGATTACTAAAGTCGATTTTATTTTCAGAAACTTCATTACAAATTTTATCAAAACAACTCACCCACCTATGTTTGAATATCTTTTTCTAGAAAAAACACTTTTGATTTTCATCTTTAATACATTTTATTCGAGTTAAATCTTTAATTTTTTTTTCTCTTTATTTGGCTAGTTTCTATATATATTTTTCATACCCTTTAGTATCTAATCTATTATAAAGATCACTAAAAGAATATTATTCTTTTAGACTCTCTACGGGTCGTTTGATATTTTTCTCAATTCTCTAAGCTTTTACATTTAAACCAATTTTTATAACATATATCTTTTCTTGCACATTATTATTCCACCACCAACTATTTTTATTTAAAGAAATTTTTTTCTTTTGATTCTTCAAGTACAACTTTGGTTATTTGTTTAATAGTGTTTGTTACTTTATCACACATAGCATTTGCATCATCATGAACATCCCAAATTTTGAAAGATTGAATTTTATTGATAAAAATAATTTTATTTATCTTTTAGGTTCCCCTATCTAATTCTACGATGATGAGTCCTATTATTATTTATTTTACAATTTTTCATCTTAAAATCTAGAACTAATAAACGATGTTAAGTACTTAAATTTTCACTTGGAACAACTTAACAATCCCGACGATCACTTCTTCTCATAAGAAAATAATCAATTTGAGTTTTATTAGATCAATTCTTATAAGTAATAAGATACTCATCTATTTTTTTGAATAAAGTATTAGTAATAAAAAATCATACGCTAAAGCAAAATCAAAAATAGTTCTATCTTCTTCATTAGTCACTCCAAAACCGTAGCCACCGTGAATATTTCTAAAATCTTTTATCACTTTACCGACATATCCATTTAAATCTCCTCCAATAAAATTTTTTTCTTCAAGAGGTATCATTTGTATTAAGACTTCTAAGTCATTCTAGAAATTATTTTTAAACCCTATATCTAAACCTACTTGAGGAGCATAAGCACTTATAATATTAAAAATCTTAGTTTCAATAATAATCTTAAGGGCTATAATTTAATTTTTACAACATTATATTTCAAAATCTTATCTATAATTACACCTACATCATTTCTAGAGCGACTCTTACCAGAATACCAAAGTTTAAAACCTAAGTTATCAATCTCCTTAGTCTTTTCTCCAACCCATTTAGTTTCTTGAATATATAAGATATTAATATTTTTATGAATCATAATATCAACTAATTTTATTAATTTACCATTAAGAGTACTTATATTCCAAAATTCTATCCTAATATTAATTTCATTAGTTTTATGCACTAACTTTTTTACCCGCATTTGTCAGTAATGTGGGAACTCTTGTTTATTTGACGCTACATCTAGGAGCCGATATAGCAACCCTTACACACTTTTCACTGTATTCAGGCTATACAGTGCGTCGCTTCCAGGGGACGCTCTAGCACTTACATCTAGCACTTACACACACTTACACAAAGATCAAAAGGATTCATGTCATGATTTTTTTCAACAAGTTTTACGCTAACACAATTTTGTGTTTATTTCTATAAATTTATTCAAACTTAAAAAAATTACTTATTTTTTTATACACATTCATTTTATAATAAATTAATTAAAATGTCACTTTTTTATGAAATTAATTTTTAATTATTTGATCCTTGTTATAGTTACTATTATCAACTAAAAAAACACTTTGATTATCTCATTTAACCTTGCTTTTATCTACAATTATTAACTTCAAGTGATTAATATTATAAATTATTTATTTCTATATTATTATTGTTCTTATATTTACTACTCAAAAGTAATATTATAAATATTTATATTAATTTAACTAATAAAAGCTTAATAATAATATTTTTCTGCTCTGAAAAATATATATCATAACCATTGACTAATTCATATTTATAATAAATGAATATTCATAATAAATGTATATAAACATATCAATATTTCCATTAATTAGTTATTGCATTTTTTAAATTTATTTTTGACTAAATTATCTTAATTCAGTTAAAATTTTAATTTATTTTCAAAATTTTAAAATTACTAAATTAAGCTATTTTATTTTATGTAATTTTTCTAAATCCTTTATTAGTATTCTACCTCATTTTCCATCCTCAAATACTTAACTATTACTATAAATTAAAATTCTAATCAAATTTTAAAATTTATTAAAATAAAAAATGAGTTTCAATTAAATTACCTCAATATTAAATTCTCTCATTGTCAATGCTCAAATCTATGGGCCATAAAATCCCATTATTGGCTCAAGCTCCACCTTCCTCTTTTGGTCATGCTTTTTATTTCTTTTCCTCACACTTCTTCACGATCAAGCTCATTTGTAACTACACATGAGTTCATTCTTTAGCTTGCATCACGCGATCAACCATCATTTACATACACTGCTTGATCTCACATGCTTATTCGATCACATGCAATATTAATTCCACATGTCGATGCCCTTGATATCGCTCAAATTTGCATATAGTAGCGCTCATCTTCTCTCTCCCTTCTTTTCGAATCCTCCATTCGCCTCACCCTCCTTATAGTGATAAAATGGCTTGTTATATCTCTTGCCTCACCGTCCCATTAATCTTCTCTACTTCACATTGTTGGATACTCTCACTCCATTTTGTCTTAATTTTTATCGTTCTAAAAAAACGGTGCTCTCACTCCATTTTGTCTTAATTTTTATCGTTCTAAAAAAATGGTGAATTGACTCCTTACTTCGTCTCCCTATTAGTCATTTGTTTTTGTAATAATTTAAATTGACTATAACCAGATCCAAATTTTGAGACAATATAAATTTTTGACCTAAGTCGCGATAAAAGTGGTATCAGAACACAAGATTTAGAATTAAGTAATATAATCATATAAAAAAAGTTATTAGGAAAACTAACAAATAAATACAAATTTGAAAAAAGGTTATGATTAAATCCTATAATCATAAATATAGCTAATAAGTAAATTTTGATGTCGAAATTTGTATAAGTAGGGAATATTGTAATGTCTAACAAAAGTGCATCTAATTTCTCTTCATGATTGTTACATTAATATTTGAAAGATTCTTCAAAAATCCAAATTTTTAGCAAGCAAAGGGCTTGAGAATTTATCTACTAGCTGATTTATATAGTTGCTTTCTCACAAAAAAACACAAAAACCTCTCCATAACTTTAATAGCTAAATTGACAACTTTCTAAACAACCACGTAAGCTTCATAAGTCACTCACCTCGGAAACAGTATCCAAGCTCTTTCCTTCGAAAGCGCCCACTCCACGTGCATCCAAAAAACTATATTCAGGGACAATGCGACTACAAACCGAGAAAAAGAAAATATTTTAAGCTAAAAGATGCTCAAACCCTTTAGCTCCGATCATTTCTTATAGAAAAAATGCCAAGAAAATATAAAACAAAACTGGCCTTTCAAGAACATCTCAATATCAATATCCACCTATCTATCTATCTATATATAGATAGGTAGGTAGTTAGGTAGAGATAGATAGATATGGCATTAAAAACATTATATAGATAGGTAGGTAGGTAGGTAGAGATAGATAGATATGGCATTAAAAACATTTATGATAAGTTCCAAATGAGCATAGAAAACGGTATTAAAGTTATCCAATGTTGAAAGTTTTGCTTTAGTGAGTGTCCGCCGATTAGTATATTAGGCTCAACTAACACCCAAGTATTTAATCCACACCCTAACAAGTGATATTAGAGCAGATAGTTTGGCTAGAATAAATGATTCATGTGGTTTTTGGTCTCCATGAATCTTTGACGCTCTACCATGAAAAAAAAAAATTCAAGTGCAAAAGTCTCCCATTCAAGCTCCTAATGATTGAATGGGCTCACCTCGGGCATTTTTTTTTAAGAAGTCATCGGTTCGAGCTATGTTTCAAAAATAAATTTCAGTGATGTTTGCATATTTTGAAAACAAATCATCTTTGAGTGATATATTTAATTCAGTTTTCTTCACTTTCTCACAGACTAACTTTGTAAATGAGTGATAATTGTTCTAATAAGCTTCATACTTGGAAAACTAGCATTTGAGGTAGGGTGAAAATAGTCTAAAGTCTGAAGTGAAACAAGATTGAGTTCCTAGCAATAATGAACCTGCGATTGATTCCATTGACGGAGGCAATGATCTCCGCAGCCTGATATGCCCTCTGTGTAATGGATGGCCAGATCCAGCAGCTCCCGCTACAAGCCCCCAATCGCTGGAGCTCAACCGCCGCACGCGTCGCCTGGCGCCTGCCCTCCGGCGAGAGCCCGCTGTCGATGGAGGTCTTGGTGACGGGGTTGGTGTTAAGGAGGCCCATGCCCTCGTAAACCGACTCCCCAGCCCGGACTAGGAAGTATCGGTTGCTGAGACGGGCGGGAGGCATCTGGAAAAGCCCACGGGCTGCGGCGGCCGGAATGGCGTGGAGGAGGAGAGGGAGGGACGAAGTGGCCAGACCAAGCAGAAGAAGGCGACGATGATGTGTTGGTCGGAGTTGGAGTGAAGGGGGGCAGGTGGGATTTTGCGATGGAGAGGGAAGGAGAGCGGGAGCGGGTGGGATGGAAGAAGCAACAAGCATTTGTGGTTTATGTTTTAGCAGCAATGGCACAATAGTGGAGAACGATGTCGTGGCAAACTTCAGTATGAGCCCCTCTGAATCTCAAACAATTATGCACCTCTGTTGGCCTATGTGGAATTTTATAGATAATGTTACAATACTCTTCTTTTTGTGTGTGCAATTTTAAAGCCTATATCTTATATATGTTAGGGTATTTTTTACCTCCTGATATATCTAGATCTCACATACATTTACAATATTTTTAATTACTTAAAGGATTTAGCTGTATTTTCGTAGAACTCTCTAGGAAGCTCTGTGTTATCATATTTGTATAGAGAGTTAAATCTATTCACAAAGTCTGGACGTGCTAAAATAGCAAGATGTTTACACCTATTACAATTTTGGTGCTACAAACATTTGCATTTAGGCAGACCAACTCTACGTGTTCCTACTTCCAGGGAATTGTTTCACAAGCCATTTGGATTCAGGTATATTTTGCCTAAACTAGTATTTTTTAATATATGTTTTAAAATTTCATAGCTATATTGTCTTTAATATGTAGATGGAACGAGGATAGACTATAAGAAGTGCCTCAAGGAAATGCAAGAATGTATCGAGATTATATTGATGGATTAATGCAGAGTCGGCTATATTTCTGTTAATATAAACTATATATATTTTCTTGTATATTATTTATCTATTTTAAAATAAATCATAAGTTCTAAATAAATAGGTTATTTGGGAGTGTATATTGATGGTATTATGGTGTGGTTACTGGAGATTTGTCTTGAGATTATGGATATATGGACAGCTTATTTCCTCTTATTAGTCGGAAGCGCTTGGAGTGGCATCTTCCAGATCGAGTGATGCGACAGTTTTTCTCTGTGCAATCCATAGTGATTGGGGCTATAAATCAATCATTTAGGATGGTGAACAGCTAAGGAAAACACGATAGATACTTGATGCATTATCATCGAAATTACATTGCTTCATGGATTAAGCATCAAGCCTTTGTAGTACCATTAAACCGGCCTTTAGGAGATGAGAGTGCAAAACTAACACATTACTTACAGTAGTATAGATCATGGGAGTCGATTTAACTAGTTTAGTCGTCTACTGAACCACTAGATACCTACCACCCTAGGTCACCTAGCGAGAGTTTAATGGTGTGCATATAGTTTATATTGATTTTCTATTTGCTTTTTCTCATTTTTTTCATGATTTAATTAATTATGAACTTATACATGTAAACTATTATATATGATCAAGGACCTTACTTGGAGACTCACTAGTTGGCATGGTGAAGTTGTTATAGCAATGCAAGAATGTTACAACGAGCCCTCAGAGCTTTCAATAAAATGAAACCGACACTCTATATTGATTATAGTGAATTCAACCAACCAACAAAACACACCTCGTGAAGATCAACCTTGGATATCCCATGACAGCTACCAACAAACTTTTCAAGTGTTTCGACTGTAGATGCTCCAAGAAGATCTTTTGCTTGTATTGGTCCCTCAGCATATGTTGGATCCTCTACATATGTAAGTTCCTCAACATATGCATGTCCCTCAACATATGCAAAACCCTCAACCTTAGCAGAACCTTCAACATCACATGAGATTTCGACTTTTTATCCGTATTGGATTGTAACCAAGAGTGGACACTTTGATTTGCAATTTCATTTGTGACCTAATTACAACAAACCACCATTTCATATGCAAGAAGATACTCCAATTTTTGAGTCAAATGATGAAAATGTAAAAGGTGAGGAGGAAGAGGAACGACAACTACTAGAGCAACCGCTCCAAGCACCATCAAAATATAATCCAGGATAAAGCACTCTTCGAGTACACCTTAGAAGATAGATTTTCTCTTTTTTTAGAGTTATTGTACTAACAACTATTATTTTAATGAAGCCTGAAATTATTTCGATAAATGTATTGTTTGAATTTTCTTATTTCAAATGTTGAAGTTTAGTAAGTTATTCAATTATTCTAATTTCAATAATATTTAAATAACTTAATATTGCTTTTCTTTCAATTATTCAATTAATGCATAAATAGGATGGAATATATTTAGCAATTAAAATTTAGGAGTTAGATATGGAAATACATACAATAAGTTTTTACATACATGCCACTAATGACATTCATATTTACTCCTCTCATACCCAAACTCTTATATTTACATATACAACACCTAAAACTATCTTAAAACCTCTGTTGTCTTCTCTGGTAGGTGTTGAACGGGAAAGCCAAGCACATTGCTCCATTTCTTCAAGCCCAAAAGATAAAAAGGTATAGTAAATCCAGTTGTTCCTCTATTGCACTGATCGGAGTTGTGGCAACGATATGTTTTCTTTGTTTCTTTTTTCTCATCTTGCATGACAAACAAGGAGAGGAATGGCCCCTCTTTTCTGTTTTTTTCTCTTGTTTGTTTTTTCTTTTTTGGCAATCTCTCTTCCGGCTTTTACTTTGTCGCTGAACCAGCTCGCTCTGCATCTCAGACTCAGAAATTAGTAGTTAGACTTGAGAAATCATGTTGGTTTTGTACTAACGTAGTTTTCTTGTATGTAAGATTGAGGAGACATTTAGTGGACTGTTTGAAACATCCATGAGATTCAGACAGTAGCATAAATTGTTAGATGAGAACTATGAACTGCACAATTTGTATTTGAGAACCATATGAGGACCAGAAATGCTAGTTATGTCATTTTCAACAAACTCATCAATAATAATATATATATATGTGTGTGTGTGTGTGTGTGTGTGTGTGTGTGTGTTATTACTTTCAATATCATGATTTTTTTAATATTATTACTTTTATTATATATATGTAGTATGAATGTATGTGTAGGATAAGTTTTTATTTTAAGTTTTTGAATATTTCTTATATACATTTGTGGTTTTTTTTTTCATATGCTTTTTTTTATTTTTCATGTGCTTATTTTTTATATTATTAATTTTATTTAATTTGCTTATGCTTTTAAATTTTTACGGATAAATGTAGAAAGAAAGTTCTACATGTTAGATCTTTAAATGCATTGGAATTGACTAGGACTAGCATGCAAGTAAATATCCCTTTTTTTAAGACTTACATACATAGAACTCAATTCTTATATATTTAAATATCTAATACCTAAACTTCAATCTTTATATGAAGCTAGGCGTGAAACGATGTTTCTCATTTTAGATGTTAAAATGGTGGTATTTCTTATGTGATATGACAGATTTGGGTGTTATAAATGTAAAAGCAAAGTTTAGTTGTTAGATATGTAAATACATAAAAAAATTAATGGTCTGTTTGGGGCAGCAGCAACTTACTAATAAGCTGCTGATAAACAGCTGATCTGAATAAACTGGTTGGTTGTTTGGTTTGTGCTGTTGAAAAACAGTTGTTTTGCTGTTGTTTTTGGACAATTGAGCATTTTGTCACTATGCAGTAATGTTGTTTACAACATAACAATCATAGCTATATATTTGATACTTAAAAAGCAAAAAATCAATTCATAACAGTACAAAAAATAAGATATACACCTCACTTTATATTAAGTATCAATATTATTAAGAAAAGAAAAAACTATTAAAATTATAATTAAAAATATGATAATATTAATTTTAAAATACAGACGGTATTTGTCATGAGTTACATTGTCCTCCAATGATACTATCCAACTCTGATCACTATCAGCAGTGGAATCTGTCGGACTATCTGCCCACCAGAAGAAGTCACACTTATCCATGATGCTCTGTGGACACCTATAGAATTGGCTCCCGCAGCCATGTGCCCTATGTGATGTTAGTAGAGAAGTTTGTAATCCACAGTGGAGGAGTACTCGTCGGGAGGTCCTTAAAATCTTAGAGCTCATCTTTACTGAAAGATTCAAGAGAGAACTCATAAGTCAAATGACATCCTCAAACCACACACACACCCACAACCATAGCCCCAAACCACACCAACAACCAGCACACACACCCCCACAACCACAGCCCAAAATAGCACACACACACCCATAATCACCACACACACACCAACCCAACCAACAGCCACCACAGAACCATAGCCCATATCCATCACTACAACTAAAGCCACCTCAAAACACAACTCAACCCAAGAACCACAACCAATAGCCACCACAAAGCCAACTACAACCACCAAAAGCACAGACACCACCCCAAAGCCACAGCCACAAACCCTCACCCAAACCCAACCACACCCACCCATAGACCCAAACCATACAAATATAGAACACATAGCCACCACACAACCCATAGATCACTACCTAAGCCCACAATCACCAAAAGCACAGAGGCCACCACAAAGCCACATTCACAACACCTAAACCCACTAACATAGTGCTACCCACAACCACTGCAGAACCACAATGAATCACGACTCACATCTATCACCACAATCAACAACCACTACAAAGCACAACTCAGCCCAAAGAACCACAACAAATGCATAATATCCTCACAAAGAAAGTTTGTGATGCTTTGTGGTGTTGACCTCACTTTTGGTTGATGTCTAGTTTCCTCTTTAGAAGCCTAAAATATAGCCATAGGAATTTTCTGTTGATTATTTATAGATGACAAGTGATGGTACCCTCACCAATAAAAATTTTAAACTCTTCTTTTCTCATCTTGAAGTTCCACATATTTGTTCTAACCTCTAGCACTTAGTAGGTGGGACTAATATGAGGGAGCTCAAGAGGAGTCCCCATAGAATTGTTTGGCCTTAGAGTTTGCTGGGTGGTGTGGCCTTGGTCAGTCTTGCACACACAGACACTTGCACTTGTATTCACAACCTCAACCCCAACCAAATATGCTTAGTTGATCCCTTACTCTTTTTGGAAACTCATGTGGATGGTCCCTTGAACCATTAGCTTTGGGCTACGGTTTGGCTAAAACCAGCACATGGAGGATCCAAAAAGGGATTTCCCTTGGTCTCATGGCTTAAAAAGGGTGACCTCATGATTAAAATCCTTAATCAATCCAAATTTTGCCAAATTCCAATTTTGACCCTTCTTGGCCCTAAGCTTCACCAAATTACCAATTTGCCCCTATACCCTAAATTTTCCAAAAATTCCCAAAATTACCCAAATTCTAAAAATCTC